GTGATTCCTACAAACCTACTGGTGCTGTGGGCGCAATTCCATCGTCAGCCACAAGGGCTGAGCGGCCGCCTCAGCTCAGCTCCGCCAAGTTCCAGAACGCCCAATAATTTACAGCCTGTCACCCAGAGGTTCCGTGGGAAACATTTCAGGGCCCTGGGATACGTGAGTTTCATTTGACATGCTTTTTATCTTCTGTCTGCCTGATGCTCTTTCCTTAACCTTTATTTGTCACTCAGGGCTCACCACATTCATTACTAAGCCGCCTTGTGCCTAGTCTGACTTAGGTTTGCCAGTAACCTCCCCCCCACCCCACCCGGATTCTCTGTAGTCACACACAGTATATTTGTAATTACTCATCTCTGTTGTTTAGGAAAAAGCGTCAAGCAGACAGAACGGTTTGTTCTGAAGGGGGCAAGAAGATGGTGTGTTTGAGGACCCAAGAGAAGTCCTGAAAGGTTGAGTCAGGTGAGGTGGGCAGGGGCTGGAGCCTTCTGGGTCTCATGGGCTCCGACAAGGGTGTGTTGCTTTACTCCATAAACACTGGGAAGCCCCTGCAGAGTTTTAAGCAGAACGAGTTATGATACACACACTATCTTTTTAAGAGGTGTTCCTTGGGGAGGGATAAGGTGGGAGATGGGGGGGCGATGAGGAAGGAGCATGTGGCTATAAGAGGGCAACAGGAGGGCTCCTGGTGACGATGGAAATGTTATGTACCCTGACTGTGTCAATGTCAATATCCCGGCTGTGATGTTGCACTATAATTTTGCAAGATGTTACTATTTGGGGGAACTGGGTAACACAGGATTTCTCTATTATTTCTTACAAATGATGAGACTCTACAACGATCTGAAAATAAAAAGCTTAATTTTAAAAAGTGTCTCCTGGTCTCAACATGGGTGGGAGAGGGGACTCCAAGTTACCCAGAGAGCTGCTGGGCCTCAGACTAGGGAGGTGGAAGAAAGGAGCGGATTGATTCAAGACATATCCGGAAGGTGCTACGGAGAGACTCATGGATGGATCTTCTGTGGGAGGTGAATCAGAGGAAAAAGTGCAGAATGCCTCCCAGGTCCCTGCCTGCAGCCGGCAGGTGGACTCTGGCATCGTGGGACCTGGAGAGAGGGGAGCAGGTTTCACGGCAGTGGCAGTGGAAAGGGGACGCCAGCTCATGTTGGGCAGCTTAAGTTTAAGGAGGCAATGAACTATCCGGGTGGAGATTCTGAATGGGCATTTAGAAATGCAATCACTTTAAAACAGAATTAAAAGCGAAATTTCCCTCCCTCACCCACTTTCCCAACTCCACAGCCTTCCTTCTAGGAAAACGTGAGAGAGTAAGAAAACATTAGCCGCCTTACCTCCGCATCACACCTTCTACCCTTTCTACGCGCTCAATTGCTCTCCCGCACAGGAAAAAGCGCAGCCTGACTGGTGAACGCCTGTCATGGGAGGTGCCAGGTTTGATTAGTGGGGCTGACGTCCCTGCCCACGTACAGCAGGCCCCTCTCCCGACGCCTGGCGCCCAGGGCAGGACTCAGCTCCGTTTATCTCCACATGGGGCCAGTGCCTGCCAGTTAGTCCAGACTTTCTTCCTAAGCCTCTGTTCCATCTGCAGCTGGGCTATGAAGCGGCCTGCTGTCCTCTGCTACGCGGCTGGTCAACTACTAGGTCCTGCACTATGGTGCACACAGCCTTGGGGCCTGCTTTCTACATCTAGCCAGCTCTCTCTGCAGTTGTGTCTGAGCAGATGTGTCCCCAGATTTTAGACCGAGGGCTGGAGGCAGAAGACTTCACTTCGGCCTTTGCATAATGACGCTTGCCTGGCGAATGAAGTGGCATGAGGGGAAGGCAGGAAAGAGGTCTGAATGTTGGCGTGGAAAGAAAAAGTATACACAGTATGTTGAAGATTGTCCTTAAAAAACCTTTCAGGAAGGCGCATCTTAGAAACAGGCTCAATACGTTTTCCTTCCTGAGTTGGAAAAAATCATTGATGAGGGAGCAGACTTTAATTTAGGAGCCATGCTGCACAAATCAACTTCATATGTCTTTAAATCCTAGAATTGCGCACTCTTTGAGGGGGCTCTGGGACCTGCCACTGATGGGAGCTGCAGGGTCTCCAGTCTTTCTCAGGAAAGTCTTTCTCAGGCTCATTCCAGGGATGCGGGGAACTGCACGTGCTCGTTGCACCTATTACTCGCTCCCTTATTTTCTTGCACAATGTATATAGTTGTTTACATGTAAGATAAATGTGTACATGACATAATTCTCCTACACACCTTTCCATTTGGCTAATCGTCCTTGGCATGTGCCCTGTTGCTGAAAATCCTAAAGGAGAGATGGATGAGAGAGGTCCTGAGCCCCTTGTTAATTTGGGGTCTACTCTTCTAGATCTTTTTAATGTATTTATCTGTACACACACGCACAGGTTTTTTACATAAATAGGAACATACTATACATATTCTGAACTTAGAATTTTCACCAAATGATAACGTTTTGGTGATTTCTGCCCCCATGCATCAACCGACACAGAGCTACCACATTCTTTTAAACTATTCCATCGTACAGATATCCTGTAATATTTGTAACCATCTGCCATTGTAGAACCTTTCTTTAGTTGGGTCCAGTTTTTACTACTGCAAACATGACTACAATAAACATCCTATGTACATGTAACTTTGCACATTTATCTGAACATTTCTAGAAGATAAATTAATAGACATGGAATTGCTAGATCAAAGAGAATGTATGTTTGAAAATTTAAAAATTACTGCTGAATTGTCCTCCAAAAATGTTTACTTTTCACTCCCACCCACACTGTAAATCTTCCAAGACTATATATTATCAACTTTAAAAATGTTTTGCCAATCTGATGGATAAAAAAGAGGTATCTCATTTAAGTTTTGTTTCTCTGGTACTAGAAAGAATGAATACTTTTCAAATGTTTATTGGCAATTTTTATTTTTTTCTTTAGGAAATTTTTGCTATATCTTAAGTGTTTTCATCAGGTTGATGGTATGTTTCTTATAGATTTTTAGGAGCTCTTTTATGACAGATACTGACCTGTTGCAAATATTTCTTCTAGTCTGACACGTGTCTTTTATTAATATATAGTATCTTTAACTGAAAAATTATTTTAAAGGATACCCTCTGGGAACAGTCCTGCCCTTTCTACCTCAAAATTATACTTTTAGAAATTCCTTTATATTTTTTCTCATGCTTTTATAGCTTTAATTTTTATGTCTATTTCTAGAATATTTGTCAACTTATGATAGGAGATAGGACTCTGGCTTTACATTTTTTTCCAAATGTCTTCACGCCAATTGTCTCAGTGCCAATCACTGATTATTCCTTTCTTTTCCCACCTTTATAATATATCAAATTCCTATATATACACATCTGCCTCCGGACCCTGGTCTTCTCCATTGATGCATTTGTAAATTTTAGCCCTGTCAGGATCACACTTCTTAATTACTATAGCTCTATAGTACGCTTTGACGTCTGGTAGAACACATCCATCATCGCCCACGACCACCACCACTATTACCACCCACAATAATTTATTTAGCTATACTTTTGGTTTTAAGTCCTCACCTGAGGGTATGTTTTTATTGATTTTTAGAGAGAGAAAGGGAGAGAGAGGGGGAGGGAGAGAAACATTGGTGTGAGAGGAAAAGACTGGTCCCTTCTAAACATGCCCCCCTACTGGGGATTGAACCTGAAACCTTTCAGTGTAAGGGACGATGCTCTAACCAACCAACTAAGCCACCCAGACAGGGCTATTCAGCTATTCTTTAAAAAAAAAAAATATATATATATATATATATATAATTTTATTGATTTGAGAGAGAGAGGAAGGGAGAGGGGGAGAGAGAGAGAGAGAGAGAGAGAGAAACATCGATCGGCTGCCTCCTGCACCCCCCACACTGGGGATGGAGCCCAAAAATGGGGCATGTGCCCTGACCAGGAATTGAACCAGCGACCTTTTGGTGCATGGGACTATGATCAACCAACTGAGCCACACTGGCCAGGGCTATTTAGCTATTCTTAAGCATTTTTTCTTTCACACAAACTTTATAAATGGCTCAAATTTCATTTTAAAAATGTGACTAAAATAACCATGCATTGAATATGCAGAGTAATTTGGGGACAGCTGACATTTTAACAATATTGAGGCTTCCCACCCAGGAACACAGACTATTCCTTCATTTATTCAACTCTTGTTTTACACTTGTAGGTAGTGATTTGCAGTTTTCTTAACCAGGCTTTGCCTTTTTCTGGTTAGGTTTATTCCTAGGTGTTATAGTTTTTGTTGTTACTGTGAGTGGTAGATTTTTCCATTATATCTTATGATTGACTCTTACTATTCTATAGGAAAGCTACTGATTGCAATATATTGATCCTGAACTTAGATGCTTTAATGAGTTCTTTATTAGTTCTATTAGTAGTTAGTTGATTCTTTAGAATCTTCTATTTAGAGAAGTATTAACAGCTGCATTTGATTATATTTTTATACACTCCCTTCTAATTAACACTTCCTATTTGTTTTCATCTAATTCCATTGCCTACAGTTGCCAGCATAATGTGGAACTAACTTCAACACTAGGTACTAACTTTAAAGGGAGAAATTCTAAAATTTTACTGCTAAGTATGTTTCCTTTAAATTTCTGGGAGAAAAAGTCCTTATTAAGCTAAAGAGGTTTTCTTTTATTCTCAACCTCATTAAGACTTATCAGAAATAAGGTATGAATTTGACCAACTGATTTTTAGTACGTTATAATGAATTTTAATTCAGCTCTTTAAGTAAAAAGCGGTCCTCTTTTGGTCATGTAAAACTTTAATGATCATGTACTCTCTTTTATGAAGAAAGCATAAATGAAGTCAGAGACCTCTGATGCCATTCGAGTTGGTATATGCTAAAATGTAGAATTAGAAATATTTTTTGGGGGGGAGTACATCAAGACAAGTCATATATTTATGCTATTGGTAATTTAACATGAATCCCTCACCTTGAAATCATCGGGAATGAGGAGTTTTGATGTTCGTAGAAAATTCAAGATATATCTGAACATCTGTCCGTCTCTGTCAATGAAATAGTGCTGTTTGAGACTGTCCAAAACAATGGGCTCTGTACCATCAAAAAGTCTTCCGATTCTGTGATAGAAAAGAGGGAACAGTGAAGACAATTAGAATCAATTGTTCGGCCACTAACACTAAGAGCCACCATTCTGTGTCACTGTCAAAGGTAGCAGCTTTGAAGATGGCAGGTAAGAAAAATGACCCCTTAAGTAGCTATGGTTCTTTGAGAAGTACTGATCCCTGCTTGATAAATATCTCAGAATGAGGCAATTCAAAATAGTCTCAGGATTTGTCAAGTCAATTCTTTTATTCACTGTCTTTTACCTGTAAAGAAAATGTTCCTGGCATGGTGATTATGGCTAAGTGCTGTCACTGTAACAGAAAATCAAGTCTTTCCTCCTGTGTTATTTAAAACAACCTTCTCTGCTACTTAAAAATGTTAGTGTTCCAAACTGTCTTTTAAATGAACTCTATGAAAAAAATCAATTTTGTTTTTAAGAAATCTGTTTTTTGAGCTTTCCCCACCCATGAATCTCAAACTTTCCAAAAACAAAGCAATGCCTATATGCCAACATCTCCATTTAATTATAAAAAAGAGTAACTGAAAATATCACTCATCCAGGAGAATATGTTTTCCATAAACAACACACAGTCTAATTTCTTAGGTCTCAGCAAAAATCATTTTTAACAGCCAGGCATCATTGTGAAAAATACACATTTGACCACCCCCAAAATATGACCTAGTTCTGGAACATAAGTGGCTATGGGTAATTTTTAAAAACAGGAATCCAGAATACGCCATTTATAGAGTAAACATTTGAACAGAGTGCTACAGTTAAAGTGTTTTGCATTATCATTTAACCTTTTAAGGAAGGCTGAATATAGACACGTCAGTATATATTTAGTTAACAGAAAGTGGTCACATCTATACTATGAGCAAGTGAAGGACTGGCTAATGACAAGTATCCTATATCAAAATATAGCTTTAACACTAGAAATCACTTTTACCAAGAGAGGCTTTTTGCTTTTCATTAACAGTGTAGGCAGGCAAACAGCTCCATTTTTTAATGAAAAGCTTTTGTGGAACTCGTATCTTTGACTTTGAATATCATTTTATTGCTTTGAAGATGATTTCTGAATCGGACATCTTCTAATCTTATGTTGAAATGAGACAGATGTAATGGTAAATCAATAGTTCCACCCCTCTTAAAATACAACGAACAAACAGGAAAGCTGTTCCCCTCCCTCCCAAGAAAGAAAGGCGTCCGAATTTCTGTTTCAATAAAACTCTAAGATAATTAGAAAACTCAGGTCCTCCTTGAAAGCAGTAAAGGTAGAGAAGAAAGCAACTAAGTACGGTCAAGTCACATTTCTAAAACTTAAGATATTTTTCTCCGCTAACGTATTTCGTCCAACTTTCCATGAGTTGAGGGTGATTAGCCGGGTGCGGATGACAGCCCCCCAGGGTTGCTGCATGCATTCCCCCTCGTCATTCATTTCTCGGGGACACCCCCCAAACAGGAGGCTGCCAGGGAGAGAGGCCGGGGCCCTGCAACACACTCGGGCCCTGGCTGTGGTGCTTCCAGGAGCGTGTCTCCGGGCGGGAAAGCACCGGCCGCTTTGCCCATTCTTAAAGCATTTTACGCTTCGCTGTGAATAACATAACTTACAGCTGACGGGGAGCGGAAGCCGGATTTATTAAGCGCCTCCCAGACACCTTGCACTATCCTAAGCACTCTCTATATGTAACAAAACTATTCTCCTCCTTTTAAGGACGGGGAAGCAGGCTCAGGGTGAGGAATGCCTTGCCCAACAGGGAGGAGCTGGCGGCCTGTTTGATCCTCGGCCCGGGGCCAGCGGAATGAGAAGGGCCGCTGCCTGGGTTTACTTCTTCTTCTATTTGTTCAGCAAGAGCTTTACGATGACACCCAGGCGCGTATAATGATTATTTTCTGTGGCCCCCCAAAAAAGTAGTATCAGTGATGGCGAGCCACTTTCCTAAAGAGATTAAAAAGGATTTTATTCTTAAATAAACCCTATGCTTTTTAACACCTAGGTGCTCCTTTCCCAAACCTAGACTTGGGGGGACACTGGCACCCGGGGA